GCGGGGGGGGCGGGGGCCTTACTGCGCTTTCAAATGCGGCCTGGGTCGGTGCCTGTCTTAGGGAAGCAGCAACCCACCTGGCGGCACAAGTGCGTGCTGGCCGTACACCCACTCTGCATGCGGGTGGACGTACGGCCACTATACATAGCGGCGCTCTTTGCTGGGCTGACTGGCTGTACTGCTACTGTGGGGGAATGAGGATAAAAGGGACGAAGAAAGTCGTGGAGCTGCTGCACTGGCTAGGTTAGGGCGGGAGTGCGCCTCGGTCTGCCGCCGATTTTGGTCACCGTCTCAGGGGCAGACGATGGTTCCTTTTGCACGCGCGTGTGAATGAATGAATGTGTGTGTATGTGTTGACGCGTGTGATGTGTGTGCTCGTTTACATCGTCACATCAAGTCCTCATCTAGAGGGTAGGACACAAAGTCGGGGAGAGCAATTCTTTGGACTGCCCCGGTCGCACAATTCCCGTGCTTCCCTAATTCGACACCCTGAACAGGCCAATTCTGAGTGTCCGAATGTCCCTGCCAGACCAATGCGACATCCCGACATGCTAATCCTGACTGACGGAATGTCCCTGCCAGGCCAATTCGTGTCCCTGTCAGGCCAATTCAAGGGCCTGTCCCGGCAATTTAACTTGTCCCGGTGTAGCCCCCGTGCCAATTTAAACCCTTGGACCGAGCAATGTCGACCAATTGCGGGGCCGGCCCGGAAACTCTCAGTCAGGCATCCGGAATTGCGGGAGTTGAAGGAACTTTATGAAACTCTGTAAGGGGAGCACTTACAAGTATTTCTCGTGTGTACTGTGTTGGTTTCAAATCCAGACATGGGCCAGGAAGTGGCAGGAACCCTACACGCCTGGTTACCGTACTCCGCACTCATTCATTCATACATTCAGTGTGTGTGTGTGTGTGTTCAACGAAAAGATACTACCACCTGAACCGACCCGAACCAGTGGCATGGCGAGACGCCCACAATGTAAAACCGCTTTCATTCGTTCATTCATTCTTTCATTCATTCATCAAATCATCCACATGGACGAAGAGATGTAAACACGCGCCCTGCCCTGCACTGGGGTGTGGCAACACCCCATTCATTCAGTATAAGGAGATCTCCTTTCAGGTGGTTTTGATTCGATGCCCGGACTTCGATCGGTGCTGCCCGAGTCCAATGGCCGCGTCCACGGCGGCCAGCACTTGGCGGCCAAAAACACCACCAGTATGGAAAGTTCTCATTGTTAATTGTGTGCCAGGTTCACCTATTGATAGAGCAGCAATAACGCCAACAGCTTCATCAACTGACACTAAATTGCCTTGAGCTAAACTCCAACCATAACATAGCTGACACAACAATTTTGTTGTGTTACAAGTTAACGGCGATCGTACAAAAAAGCGATTAGTAATTTTCGCCCAACGGAGAGCTCGATGGATTGAGGCACAGAACACACATGGAGCACACATTCTTCTCGACAGACATCTGCATTTTCATTTGTTTTCATTGTAGCTCGTGGTACTGAGTTTAGTGGTGTGTATGGGAGATTCGCCATTGTTTCCACCCGAACATGTTGATGCATACGAGTAGTGTGGGTATGAACTGGACAAACTGCCGATGAAGTGGGGTAGGAAAACAGTGGGGCCTCGGTGACTGACTTGGCTGGGTATTGCAGTTGTGGCCCTGAGTGCCTGCCTCCCTACATTATTAGAGTACGGTAACCAGGTGTGTGTCACGCCAAAACATCACATGAAGCGTACTAATTATGTGCCACGACCGAGTTAGTCGCTATTTAAGTCAACCGAAGGTAGTTGGACGAATCGCGTCTTGATTCAGTTGAGACTTAGGGCACTGCTTGACTAGTGCATAAGGCGCTTTCCGTTGTGGTTTGAGGATGTTCAGTTGTTGTTCATCTGTCGGATGAACGCTACGCATCCAGGATAGGGCCTCGTGCGATAAGGCCCGGCGCGGATCAGTCGATCCCTCGCCATAAGTGTGAGTGCGAAGACGCCAGATTTTTGTCGTTTGGCTCTCGAAGCAACTCTTGTTGACCAACAATATTAAGAATAATAGCATCACAGGTGGGCAGCTAAGCCCGATTTATGTAACAAGCCTGCGATCGTACTCTATCTCGTGACGCACATTCGCCATCAGAGTGGAATTATGAGAGGATCCATACGGCATTCAAGGTCCGCCCTTAGTGCTGCTACCGTCACGTTGACAGGAATCCGTCCCCAGCCCGGTCTCGCCTACCACGATCGCGGTCTCTGAGTTGAACTCAGCCGGATTTCGCCGGTTGAGCCTGGCGAGAGCTTCTGAAGAGGGTTCTTCTTTTGCAGTATTTCCCCACAGTGAGCCAGCCGCATTCCTTGTGTCTGTTAGCACGTCATATGGCGTGACATGTGCAATTTTACCTGTTCCATGCCCTAGGATCGAAGAGATACCTGTCACGTGCTACACCGTCATGCATGAAGGGAAGGTAGCATTTTTGGGCGGGGCCCCAGCGCGAAGCGCCCAGGGGGCCCCCGACCTGTAGGATTGCCCATGTC